GACGCAGATCTCCTCCGTTCCTCGTTCCTCTCTCCTTTCTTCGACCTACCGCCACGTTCTCCGCCTCTTCGTGACTCCGCGGGGACCGGAGAAATTACTTGCGAGATTCGAACCCCGCCGGCGGGGGTGGGGGGCGAACGAGGAGCCTTCCGGTGCACCTCGACGGTTCCACGCTCCTCTGCGGGCACGTTCGAGAAAGCGCCCCGGAGGAATGTTCCCTTTACTGGTTTCGCGAGCGGGACACCGTGTCCCCGTTCGCGACATCCCCTATCTGGCGATCGCTGCCTCCGTCGGTCAGGTGTGTCGCTTGCTTGATGAATTGTTGTCGGTTTGCCTGTCGGGATGCTCTTTGGTTTTTGGTTCGATGGCTGTTGGGGATGATGGATCGAGTGACTCGAGCACTTTGGACTTTCGAAGTTTAACCCTTTGCACTCGGAAGTTTGTCAGTAGAAATGTTTGAACATTTTCTGATGAGACGAGAGCGGTGTTTTGTGAAACTAAGTCGATGAGAAATCATGCGTACAGTGAACTAAGCTATTTTATTTGAATATTTCTCGAAAATGCATTGTGGGAAATATAATGTTAAATATTAATTTTGTAGTTTTACTGTGTGAAATCGAGTGGTGAGTGAGAGTCACCTCTAATTGCAACCTCTAGCTGTTTTAACAATTTTTTCTATATTTGTAGTATCAGAATTGTACCGTTTAAAGGTAGCATTTCAGTGATTCTCAAATATTCTTGAGTAAATAAATAGAGCGTCATATTAAGCCCTATTAGATCAACCCTTTGCACTCGACAGTACTTTCGTTCCATGGAAAAAGGCTGCATTTTATTCTTGAATAAATGTTATAGCTTACAATCCCATGTAAATGATAAATATCAATAAAACGATTTCTTTTCTTTGCTTTGTTATTCTCAATTCTCGATTATATTCGAGTGTGAAAAATTATAGCAGCATAAAATACAACGCCGCTCGAATTATCTCGAGCGTGCAAGTTAAGGAGTTAAAAAATTTTATTTAATCCAAAGTATATCCTCCGCGTTGTAAGGTCTGAGTTGTACGATTGTGCGTCGAAAGTTTCGCGGAGGGTCAGTTCGGGGTTCGCGGAGGACCGATGGCCGTGGAATGTAGAAAACCGGTAAAGCTGGAGGTTGTTTCCATTGCTCCAGGGTCCTTGACTTTGATCGCCGATGTTTGCAGGAGGACCAAAAAGTGGTGGAATTGGTGGAGCGGTACGGGCCGAAGAAGTGGACGTTAATTGCGCGGCATCTGAAGGGTCGTATCGGTAAGCAGTGTCGGGAACGATGGCACAATCACCTGAACCCCGGCATCAAGAAAACCGCGTGGACGGAGGCGGAGGACAGGATCATCGTGGAGGCTCACCGCAGGGTGGGCAACCAGTGGGCGAAGATCGCCAAGTTGCTGCCCGGAAGGACGGACAATGCGATCAAGAACCACTGGAACAGCACGATGAGGCGGAAATACGAAGCGGAGGAGGGGAGGTCCGCCGCCGGAACCAGAGGTTCATAGAAATCATTTTTGGAAATTTTAAAACTTAGAAAAGAACTTTGGATTGTCTATAAAAATTTCAATCTACGCGCGGTGTCAAAGTTTCAAAGAAATTTTCCTTTGAATTCTTTTCGATTGTCTATAAAAATCTCAATCTACTCACAGTTTCAAAGTTTCAAAGAAATTTTCTTTTGAATTCTTTTCGATCGTCTATAAAAATTTCAAACTACGCGCGAGTTCATAGACAATCGAAAAGAAGTCGAAGAAAAATTTCTTTTACTTTGAAGTGCACTACAATTTCGGTAAATCGAAAGCAAAAAGAAGCAGGAGTTTGTAGAATTCTTTATTCTTTATTACTCGAAAACAATCGTAACACAAGATAACCGATGCCGAATGATTAATATCGTAACGAAGTTAATAATAATACACTGCAAGGATCGCAACGATAATTAACCCTTTGCACTCGAGGGCGCCTTACAGTCGCCATCTGATTCGACGCAGCAAGCTTATCAAATTTTCAATTCAATATTAAACCTTGCGTAATGTATCAACACATAAAACATCGAAGTAAAATAGTTTTGTCTCTTAATTTATTGAAAGATTTTTAATGAAAAATAGTGTCAAGTGCAAAGGGTTAATAACAGTCCCTGCTTCTCTTTGCGACGAAAAAATAACTCTAAGAAAAACCGGCCAATATTTCCGTGGCGTATGAGTTAAAGTTTGATCTATCTACTCGTCAGCGATACAGTTTGAAACTCGTCTAATTCGATGAGAAGATATTACAACGACACCGATGCTCGTTAGGTCGAAGCAGAAGAAAAACCGCGGAGTCGTCGGTGACATCGAAAGACACCCTCTGCGTGAAGGAGGAGGTGGCCGGCCATGCTCGCCTGAAAGCGCCGTCCACGAGCAACGAGAACGCGACGATTCTAACGACCGCACAGGCGCAAACCCTGGACATTGACCAGCTGGACTGGACCAGAGCCTGGGAGAATCAACAGACCGCACAGACCTTCCAGAGTCTCCTTAATCTGAACGAACGCGCGCATAGCAATGAGTCCCGGTTGGGCTCGCCTTCGAAGAGAGAAGGCACTTCCGTTAAAGTCAAGACTGAACAAATATCGCCGTTCACCAAGTACGTATCACCGGAACGGAGGGAATTTCAAGTGAATGAAATTTAACCCTTTGCGCTCGAAATGTGCCTCTCAGTCACCACTCCATTGGTGCATCGAAATTGTAAAATTCCGTATTTAACACTGGAACTACCGTTTATTTAATGCAATTAATATATAATCCCCATAAAGATTGTAACAGTAGATTATTTTCAGTTTCTTCAGACATTCATTATATTAGTCAAGTAAAACTATTAATTTTCAAGATAATTTTGAATATTCAATGGCTTTAAGATATCAATAATTGTGGAACAAAGAAATCAAAACTAGTCATTTTGACTGGCACTAGTTCTAGTGTTAACCCTTTGAACTCTGTAGGCTCCAATATTGCACCAGGAATGATATTAAATATTTTAATGAATCTTAGAGAAACTATCCTAAAATTAGATTTTCCACACATCCAAATTTTGTACTGAGAAGGAAAATAAAAGATGGAAGGAATGTTATAGCATTTTTCATATTCACTAGAGATACCATAAAAATTAGTTGCTGGTAAATTACAAAACCATCTGGAGTGCTAAGGGTTAAAAACTACTGGTGATTACTGATCCGAAAGTCACTTATGAATAGAATATTCCAGGCTGTGGAAGCATTACAATTAATATTTGATAATATTTATTAGAACTATCTAAACGCATGTGTATTTTCTTGCTCGCAGGTATTTCGATTTACAAATACAGGGTGAAGCAACCAGTTCGAGATCCTCGGAAATCAGACTAATGCCTATGCCAGACCTGGAAGAAATGTCGGCCAGCATGACGGAGAAGGAACGAAGCAGCCCACCGCCTATTCTCCGCAGACGTAGAAACACACAGACCCTTCAACAGAGAACGGACACCCCCGACAGCGGGAACCAGTCTGATTATTTGATAATAACGCAGCAGCAGCCGCAACATCAGCCGCAGATAGGCGACACAACCCCGTCTACTCCTATCAAACAACTGCCGTTCAGTCCGTCACAGTTCTTGAACAGTCTGAGTCCAGAAACGTCTTCATGGCCACGGGCGAGCACCCCTAAGGGGAGCAGTCCTGGTCCACTCACCACTCCGCAACCGACCGGTCTTCGACGTAGTCAGAATGGTAATCTTTATGTCCTAACCTAGACTTAATCTAATACCAAAAATAGTATAGATTCATTGAAATTTGTCAGTGATTGGATTTAGATAATTGCTGAATATTTGTCCAGAAAAATATGGGGGTGACTGTTGCTAAGATTAATCAATTGATTAAGTTTATTTGTATTTCCAGATGGCAATATGTTTATGTGCTAACCTAGACTTAATCTAATACCAAGAATAGTATATATTCATTGAAACCTAGACTTAATCTAATACCAAGAATAGTATACATTTATTGAAAGTTGTCAGTGATGGAATTTAGATACTTGTTGAATATTTGTCCAGAAAAATATGGGGTTGACTGCTACTAAGATAAATCAGTTAATTAAGTTTATTTGTATTTCCAGATGGCAATACGCCGAGGACGCCAACGCCGTTCAAAAACGCTTTAGCAGAGCTGGAACGGCGTAGCGGCGCGACTACTCAGTTACCTGCTACCCCCAGTCGTCTGGATGCTTTAACCGAAATCATCAAACAGGAAACGGATCGTGAAAGCTTAGCAGGGACCAGCGCTATCCTTCAAGATTCTGGTTACAGCACGATAAGACGAAGGGGTAAAGAGAACAGCGCTCCTGGTGGGAAGAGGGCACGGAAAGCTCTCTGTCAAGCTTGGGCGAACGCTTCTCAGGATAATTCAGAAATGAGTTTCGTTGTAGAAACACCCGTAAGTTGAATTCTACAATTCTGATTCCCTCTAGAAATATTACCAATATTTATAAACATCCCTATGTTACCTTAACCCTTTACACTCAACAATATCTTTCATTACAAACGAAATATTAATTATATTTCCAACTTACATGAACATCTTACATAAATTATGGGGAAGAATTCTTTTATTTCTATGTGTTAATACCTTACAATATTTTATATTGTATGTTTGTGCAAAGGGTTAAGTTTGAAAGAGTTTTCATTTTGCTTATGAATGTATAAATATCAACCAGTAGAAGTGCATGTAAAGATAGAGAATGAATGTAATTCACACATGATCCATGTGAGAATAATTGATACAAATATACTGTTTGTCTTTTTGCAGAGTAAAAGTTTGGACACATCGGTATTATTCTCACCGGCATCCATGGCACTCGAGGATAGTTTCTTAACAGCAGGGACTAGTCCTGTAAAGGTAGAGAACCATATCCATCATAATCAAAATCATATTCAAACTCAACCAGCCCTATCCTGGTATTATTCCCGTACCAATCGCCTTTAGACACGCTAGCCGGCCTAATTCTCTTTTGTTTAACAACTTCTCGTCTCTATCACTCCCCTCACGTTTATTATTTTTAATTTTGCTTGCC